AAAGTGGAGCTTTTGACCTATAATCGGCCAAGACGGTGCAAATATCGCGAAATATTTCCAGACTCAGAATATAGAACCTCAGAATGTTAAATTTTCGTAGTAGTTGTGTAGGGTATCGTATGGTCGGTAGACATCAACTTTTGAATTTTTGTGGTTACAGGATTCAGAAAGCATATTTGTCCTTGGGTTTTCAGATTTTAGGAAAAATCACCATTAAAAATTGCTGAAATTTGTATTTGGTGTACATAATGGTTTTCATAAATCGGTTTGTAGAATTATCGGTAAAGGTCCACTTATTGGTATGTTCTCTATATTCTCATTGCAAGTACCTATCAGTATACCTATGGTGGATGGTATCCAAAGTTCGGGCCGCTTTTTTACTTTTTCTCTTGTTATAACAAAGACCCCGTTCTAACTCACGCCTCATCCAAAAAATGAAAAATATCAAAGAACAGCGATTCACGCGTTTTCTTTTGCCGCTCAGAAAACGATATTGATTTAATTTAAATAGTTTCAATACTTTGCTGTAACGCTGTTTCTCTCTGTTTGCATTCATTACGATACTACTGCTATTATTTAAGTTTGTAAACAAAGCCAACTTTAATTCACTTACATAGTTATTCAACATGAAGCAATCGTTTCTAAGAAATTCTTGCTTGCACTGTAAAATTTTTTAATTCAATGTCAGTGGAGTAAGTGTTAGTAAATAGAAATGAAGAAGAAGAAGAAAAACGCCTTCTCTATATAAATTGTACAAGCGATGCTATTCAGTTGAAATGATGTAAATACAAATGTACATTGATGTAGTTTCCCTTCGTCAGGGATAAGATGGTCCGTCCCTGAATGGTTAAGTAATTTATGGGCTTGACTGGAAATTCTGCAAAGGAAATCGTCATGCTCTATACAGAAGCAAAGATATTTATATTCAAGAAAATGCACACACACATATTATACGGTCTATTCGAAGATATTCAAACAATAAACCCATAAAAAGCAGTCTGTCTGTCCATGTATATATAGCAGTATAATGGGGGAAATCGAATTGAAGTTTTTATTACTGTTCTGTTCATTTCGTACCCTACGCTACACTGTGATACAGGTTATAAGATCTTTGAGAATTTTGTAAGTAACATATAAAAAGAAACATTCGTCAAATTACCAGTTTGACCATAATAACTTTACGAAATATTGACCGATGACTCCATAATGTATAAATATTTTTCATCGGAATAAAATGTTATATCAATGTTGCCAGGCTAGATCTGTCAGTTGAAATGGCAATATTTAAGGTAGAAGTTTAAAAGTATGCAAAGATATTGCTAATACTTCTGGGATATTTGGTATAGGAATTTAATTTCTTAGAAAAAATATGTAAAAATTGGTTGATAAAACTGCTAATCAATGTCGAAAGGAGTCGCATAACGGTGTTTTCTCTCTTTGTTTTTGATTTCCACTCGATCATATAGCCTAACTAGACATAAAAAAAATTAAATAAAAAACGAATTGGTTCTAACTAGGTATTTTGAGCTTTAATTTAACCCGTTGTCACGGGTAAATATTCCGGCCAAATTTAATGTAACTATCCTAAATAGGAAATGTAAAAAATTGACATCGCTACATCCTTATTATCACTTTTAATTATTCTTTAGGGTACAATTAGAGGGTACAATTCGTACATTTCAAATACGAAGCGATTTACATATTTTGGACTGTATACACAATTTGGTACTGTACATATTTTTGAACTCTTCTATGTATTGAAAACCGTATAATTTGACCAAAAAATTGTTTTTTAGATTTTTTTTGATATTGTGTAGTCCATAATCAGCTCTTAACATATGTAATCCAAACCAGTAAGGAAAGTAGTAAAGTCGCACGGGTCCGACTATATGATACCCTTCACCATTTTAGGTATATTCAAGAGATAAAAAGGGACAGATATAGATATAAAGGGACATTGGTGCACCATTTACCTTAAATCGGACGAAAATATATATGGGAGCTATATCTAAATATGACACGATTTTCACGAAACTTAACACACAGCATTCTAGAACAAATTCATTACGCTGTGCCAAATTCCTGCAAATCGAAAGATATAAAGGGACATTGGTGCACCATTTACATTAAATCGGACGAAAGTACATATGGGAGCGATATCTAAATCTGGACCGATTTTCACAAAACTTAACACACATCATTCTAGACCTAATTCATTACGCCGTGCCAAATTTCGTATAAATCGAAATATATATAGGGACTTTGGTACACCATTTACATTAAATCGGACGAATATATGGGAGCTATATATATATATATATATTGACTTTGGTACACCATTTACATTAAATCGGACGAATATATATATGGGAGCTATATCTAAATCTGGACCGATTTTCAGGAAACTTAACACACATCATTCTAGACCTAATTCATTACGCTATGCCAAATTTCGTGCAAATCGAAAGATATATAGGGACTTTCGTACACCATTTACATTAAATCGGATGAAAATATATATGGGAGCAATATCTAAATCTGGACCGATTTTCAGGAAACTAAACACACATCATCCTAGACCTAAGTCAGTACGCTGTACCAAATTTCGTGCAAATCGAGAGATATATAGGGACTTTGGTACACCATTTACATTAAATCGGACGAATATATATATATATATATATATATATATTTATGGGAGCTATATCTAAATCTGGACAGACGGACGGACAGACAACGGACGGACGGACATGCATAAATCGACTTAAAAAATGATTCTATGCATATTCTCAAAAGGAACCCTGTGTCTATCTCGTTTCCTTTTGCCTGTTGCAAACATATGTACCACAGTGAGGTGAAGGGAATAGAAATATACATTTACTTGCTGCGTAATTAATATAAGTTCTACAACATTTTGTTGCCTGTAGGCATCATTGGGCCATTCACACATTCCTCTTCAATAAATCTTAAAAAAAATTTAAAAATCCACGCAATCTTCTCAAAAAATCCTTAAAAAATATTCATTAAAAATTCACTCCTTCTTCACCAAGAGCTCATGAAAAAATATTCATTAAAAGTCCACGCATTCTTCTCCAAGAGCGCATGAAAAAATATTCATTAAAAGTCCACACATTCTTCTCCAAGAGCGCATGAAAAAATATTCATTAAAAGTCCACGCATTCTTCTCCAAGAGCCCTTAATTAAAAATCCACGCATTCTTCCCAATTGTGCTAGAAAAAATAATCATTAAAAATCCACGAATTCTTCTCCAAGAGCACTTGAAAAAAAAAAATCATTGAAAATCCACGAATTCTTCTCCAAGAGTCCTTGAAAACATATTCATTAAAGATCCACACCTTTTTCTCCAAGATTCCTAGAAAAAAAAATATTCAATAAAAATTCACAAATTCTCCTCCAAGAGTCCTTCAAAAAAAATATTCATTAAAAATCTACACCAAGTATAAAGGATAGTATTGTTATGGTCCTGAGCACATTTTCCAATAAACTCTTCCACATAAGCCCCTGTTCCAACATAGCCCCCATACAAAGTCAGACATCAGTTGTGGTATGTTCAAGATCTAGCCTATTTTTCATACTTGAATACTTGTAGTTTGGTATTATGTTTTCTCCAGGCCGCTATTTGCGAAAACATACCGCCCTTTTTTTGTTTTAAAATTTATTTGCCTTTGTTTGAGTGATGGTCCAAAGGGACCAATCAGTTTATGCACGGCATTAATGTTATGTGTCATAACGGTCGGTTTTGAATTGCATTCGCCTGTGAGCCAGAGTAGGAGAAATCATATTGATACATGGGATACCTAACCATCCAGGAATTCTGTGTCCTTTGGTCTTTTCCGCTAACAAGCACTTAGGTCGCCTCATACCAATAAAAATCCAATAATCAATAATATCATTTCCCAAGAATCGGAGTTCTTAGCTTTCAAATGAGATGCATATAAATTTAATCGGTTGATTAAAACCTGTGCAAAAATCGGATTTATTGTCAAAAAATCCGATTTGAAAATATACGATCTGTATCTGCTAATATTAGGTTTAGTATAATGAAATATATTTATGGTAAATATTTATGGTGAATCCATCAGTTCTTCATAATTTATACGAAATTTATTAGTGTTCGTTGAGGTAAGGTTTTTTGAGCAGGGATCGGGTAAAAGTGAATAAGAATATAACATAAGAATTTCGATTTATTGCCTTTTTTAGAATTTTTGGATCGCAAACACATTCGCATTGTAGTACTTAACTTACGGTTCCGGCAAATAAGGAAACGGTGCATAAGGACTCGAGATTTACAGAAAGATTCCTCATTCGATTGGACTACAAACATTTGTCAAACATATAACTCAAACATTTAACCTGTTTCGAATTTGTTCTTTTGGGACAAGGCCTTTCATTCCCAGAAAGAATTTTCCACACGGACCATAGCCTCTATGTTATTCCATTGTATATTTTTTTTTATAAATATGTTAGAGAAAATATTGTGAAAATCAAAAGTGACATAGAGTATAATTTAGACCGACTTCGATCCTTTACTTTCTTGTTTTTTGCCCCATTTTGCAAAAGTGCTGAAATTTTTATGGATGCGTTTTTGCAAAATGTTTATGAAACTGAATTACAAAAATAAAATAAAAAAATCGTATTTTCATGATGATTACTTTTCATTTTCTATTACAGATAAAGGCTTTGTTTGCTGTTGTTTATTCGAATTGATGTCTAAACAGACATTAAAACGGAAAGTGCAGTGAGTGCAAAACAAATTCAATAAAAAATCCAATAATCGCAGCGTATGTCGCAGCATCAGCATCGACGGAATGAAATGTGCGACATAGCCAAAGCATTCCCATTGCACCCCATCAACATATCGACAATAATAACAACAACACCACCAGCAGCAACATCAACAAAAACACCAATAACAAGAATTATTGATGTTTTTACAATTACGGAATAGACGATCTTCGAAGCATAGCCAACGAGGACTGGGTCGTCACGCACAGCAGCCAACTTTTGAAGCGAGAAAAATTTAATATTGAAAATGGTAAGTACCATTTAAATGACACTGGCGACAACTGACACTAAACTTTGTGGGTGTTGATGGGAGGTGGGTGGTCGAACAAAATTGCAATTTGAATAGTCGTCGTCATAGTTGTTAACCGCGGCAGGCATTACATGTGGGAGCAGGACAACAGCTACAAAATATACTGAAATCATGTTTTTCATTTGATATTGTTTCTAGAGTCTGATTTTTATTGTTCGATTATTTGAATATTTGAACACTCGCACAGTTCTATTTTCACATGTTGCCCGCCATCATGATGATGATGATTATGGAAAAAGTAAAAGCCATTAGAATATTCGTACAGTGCCATTACAAAATTCATTAGCCAAATGTTATTTTGAAACTCTAGTTTTAGCAGACCTTTTTTTGAACACAATTCGTTGTAACAACTAACAAATAAATAAAAATAATAAAAAAAAAGAAAAACAAAAGCAGATAAATGATCCATTAGCAACATCTGTGTATGTCATTCTGGGGTCAAGTTTTGAAATGTCATTTACCAATCTAGTTAAAAATAAATTATGCTGAGAGAAGAAAAAATAAAAACAAATTATATGGAAAAGTTTGTGATATGTTGTTTATCTATATTTGAATGGGGGCACGTGTCGAACGTAAATTCGATTTTTATGGGATTCATCAAAAATAAGTCATGCACATTGTGTGGTTGGATTACCCTATTATGAAAAACAATAATGTCAATATAAAACCGTTAAGGAAAGTTCAAAAGTCGGACGGGCCCGACTTTATTATACCCTTCACCACTAATAGAGAGAGGTACCAGAAGGAGTGAACCAATGTGTTGCATCTTCGGACATGATCTAGGCATGGTAAAGATAATAGGGTTTGGAAAATGTTGTCCAAATCAGAAATAAATTATAAAATAAATTTTCAGCAAAATTTTGGTCGACTCCGCTTTACTAAAACGGAAAAAAATCTGGATGTTTGTTTCTGTTATCCGATGTTTTCACTTAAGCGGAGTTCGGTTAACTGAAAATAATTTCAGTTATTTCAATAATTCATATTTTATATCGAATTCGTAGGTCTCTAATTTTATGAAAATAGACGATAGAAACAGAAACTTGACATGACATGTTCACTGCTCAAAGGATGAACAGTATTTTTTATGCGTAAGGTTTCATACTAGCCGATTTAAGTCTTTTTAATAGCTGACTTGCCTGTATGTAATATGGGGTTGTAAATGAGTAACATTCTTCCTTGCAAAATTTGTACATTATAGTCACATTTTTACATTGTTCCTATTTAAAATTTGGTTATAATCTTGAAGGCCTTAATAATAACATAGAGTAGTTAAAAGTGCACGACCTCCTCAAAATTTTGTTAATTTTGTCGTTTTGGCATTTCCCCTACGAACGGTACATTATGTAACATATATTCGTACATCTTTGTTACTTGTATATAAAATATAGAAATGCGGAACGGAGTTTTTTTTTAATTTTTCAATTGCAGAAAAAATATCTGTTATGGTGGGCTTTGAAGATGTGTATTCATCAATGCAAAATATTCTGTCATTATCCTTCATTCTCACAATTTTCAGTAATACGGAGTGATTTGAAAGAAAATTGGAATATTTGACTCCAAAAGCTATTTCAGTTATACGATATTTTCAGTTATGCGAAGTTTCACTTATGCGGAGTAAATTGTAGGTGATTAACATAAAATGTAATGATGTAGGAAAACAATTTGACTTATGCGATATTTTTCAGTTAAGCGACTTACAGTAAAGCGGAGTCGACTGTATTACGATGTGCAATGTTTGGATGAAATCGGTTACTCTTTTCGAAAGTTATTATGCGCATCCACCAGAGTGTATTGGTTACTTCTCGCGATAAACCAGAAGGAGTGGACCGATATTTCTCATCCTTTAAAAATCCTGTTCAAAAATCCGATTCGGAACTGCCTCTCGAGCAAGGATAGGCATACGAATATCAATTTCTTGTCTTTGGAGACCCTATGTAAAATCTTATGATTGTAGAATCTAGTGGACAAGACATGTTATCTCAAAAATAACCTGCAAACAAAGCAATAAAGCTTTTTCTTCATAAAATTTAATGTAACCAAAAAATCATCGAATTTATCCTTCTCGCCAAGTCCTTTTATACCCTAAATAAAATTCTCACCCGAAAAATCTAATTGCAGATTTATAGAGCTTCTTTTGTATATACCCTTCAACACACTGTGGTACAGGGTATTATGTCTTTGTGCATATGTTTGTAACAGGCAAAAGGAAACCAGTGAGCGGAGCAGTATAGTCGGCCGGGGCCGACCATATGATACCCTACACAACTTCCACGAAACTATAACTTTCTGTGTTTCTATATTCTGAGCTTGGGTAATATTTCGCGTCAGGGTCCATTTTACCGCCTAAATATTGACCGATCTTTATCGAAACATGCATGCTTATTCTTTGGCCCGATTCCCTTCTTTGTGCAAAAATTCACGGTGTTTGGGTCATAATCTGGAGCGACCAGAAAAATCGAGAAAAATAAAGTTTTTGTCCATTTGATCACCTAAATATTAACCGATCTTTTCCAACAATACAATAGGGGTCTTCATTGGCCAGAACCCATCCTACATGCAAAATTTCGTAAAGATTGGTCCATAACTGTGGCCTGTATCGTGTTTACAAATTATAATGGACGGACGGACACATATGTCTAGATCGATTCAGCTAGTCGAGATATCGGTATACTTAAAGGTGGGTTCAGGACCAATATTTCGCGGCGTTACAAACTTTTGGGGCTGCACAAAGCTATAATACCTTGACAACATAGTTGTGTAGGGTATAACTAGGTAGACACATGGTTCCTTTTTAGAATATGCATAGAATCACTTTATAAGTCGATTTATGCATGTCCGTCCGTCCGTCTGTCTGTCCATGGTAAATTGTAAACAAAGTACAGGTTGCATTTATTATTCGAATTGGATGAAATTTGGCACAGCTCATTCATTTGGCCCAAGGACGAACCCTATTGAAATTGGGAAAAATCGGTTCAGATTTAGATATAGCTCCCATATATATTTTCGTCCCATTTAAGGTAAATCGTCCACCAAAGTTCCTAAATATCTTTCGATTTGCACGAAATTCGGCATAGTGTACTAAATTAAGTCTAGAAAGATGTGTGTACAATTTCTTGAAAATCGGTTCAGATTTAGATATAGCTCCCATATATATTTTCGACCGATTTTATGTAAATGGTGCACCAAAGTCCCTATATATCATTCGATTTGCACGAAGTTTGGCATAGCGTACTGCTTTATGTATACAATGAAGTGTGTTAAATTTCCTAAAAATCGGTTCCGATTTAGATATAGCTCCCATATATATTCTCGACCTATTTTATGTAATTGGTGCACCAAAGTCCCTATATATCATTCGATTTGCACGAAGTTTGTCATAGCATACTGCTTTAGGTATAAAATGAAGTTTTTTAAGTTTCCTGAAAATCGGTTCAAATTTATATATAGACCCATATATATTTTCGTCCGATTTTATGTAAATGAGGTGCCAAAGTCCATATATAAATTTCGATTTTTACGAAATTTGGTATGGTGTACTGAATTGAAATTTGGCACAGAGTACTGAATTAAGCTTAGAATGATGTGTGCTAAGTTTCGTGAAAATCGGTTCAGATTTAGATATAGCTCCCATATATATTTTCGTCCGATTTAAGGTAAATCGTCCACCAAAGTCCATAAATATCTTTCGATTTGAACGAAATTCGGCATAGTGTACTGAATTAAGTCTAGAACGATGTGTGTACAATTTCTTGAAAATCGGTTCAGATTTAGATATAGCTCCCATATATATTTTCTACCGATTTTATGTAAATAAGGTGCCAAAGTCCATATATAAAATTCTATTTTTACGAAATTTGGTATGGTGTACTGAATTGAGTCCAGGATGATGTGTGTAAAGTTTCCTGAACATCGGTTCAGATTTAGATATAGCTCCCATATATATTATCCACCGATTTTATGTAAATGGTGCACCAAAGTCCCTATATATCATTCGATTTGCACGAAGTTTGGCATAGCGTACTGCTTTAGGTATACAATGAAGTGTGTTAAGTTTCCTGAAAATCGGTTCAGATTTATATATAGTTCCCATATATATTTTCGCCCGATTTTATGTAAATGAGGTGCCAAAGTCTATATATAAATTTCGATTTTTACGAAATTTGGTATGGTGTACTGAATTGAGTTCAGGATGATTTGTGTAAAGTTTCCTAAAAATCGATTCAGATTTAGATATAGCTCCTATATACATTTTCGTTCGATTTAATGAAAATGGTGTACCAAAGTCCCTATATATCTTTCGATTTTAACGAAATTTGGCAATGCGTACTGAATTAGGTCTACAATGACGTGTGTTAATTTTTTTGAAAATGCGTTCAGATTTAGATTTAGCTCACATATCTAGTTTGGTCCGATTTAATGTAAATGATGCACCAAAGCCCCTATATATCTTTTGATTTGCACGAAATTTGGCATACCGCACCAAATTAAGTCTAAAATGACGTGTGTTAAGTTTCCTAAAAACCGCTTCAGATTTAGATATAGCTCCCATATATGGTTTCGTCCGATTAAATGCAAATCCTTCGATTTGCACGAATTTTGGCATGCCTTACTGGATTGAGTTTAGAATGGTGTGTCTTAAGTTTCGGGAAAATCGATTCAGATTTTAATATAGCTCTCATATATATTTTCTTTCGATTTAAAGAAATTAAATCTAGAAGAACCTATATTGGATTAATGTGTGCATATGTTGATATATACGCTTTATATTATCGTGTGAGTTCGTGCCGATGTTGCACCAAATAATAGCCGTTTCTCCGATCGAGATATGTTGTGAACAGCACTCTATGCTGCAGCATACCAAGTGGTTGTTCATATATACGTTCAGATGTACATACAGCTCCCATACACAATTGAGCACGATTTCATACAAATGGTACACC